GCAAGGTTGATCTCCACCCCTCTCGTCCCCTCCCTTCTCCTCTCCTTCCGGTTCTGGGCGAACCAGCAAGAGTTTTTGCTGCGTCATTTCCAGGGCGGACCTTCGCGTGTCTGTCCTGATCGATCCGTGTCTGGAGTTCAGGTCGTAATTCCCTACGCGACGTTTTGTGCGTTTACGATGTCGGACCTCAAAGTCATCATCGTCCCGGTTCCCCCTTCTTCCGACCTCTTTTGGCTGCAGGCGCTGGCCTTTCCGAGGCTTTGCCACTTGGTATTTCGCACTACCTGCGTTTCCAGGCGGTGCTTCTTGTTGGTGACAGCTTACTTCAGATGTTCGCAGGAAAGACGCCCACAGCCAAGTCACCAACCAACGCCACATTGCTCGGCAAGCCGAATCAAACTCTTCTTGAGTGCTGCGGCGGTGCAACACGTCCGCTCTCCGTCGAACAGACTGGCACACCAGAGGGCATGGGAGATTGTGGGCAGGGAGCTGGCGATATATCCGCCAGCCACATTTTGCCAGGGAAACTCGGCACTCCAAGCATGTTGCTTCTTTCGGATCCACGGATGAACACAACGATCCTGGAGCATTGCAAAAAAGATCTTCTATTCGGCAAGTGGGGTGTTGTTGGTGAGCCACTCCCCGCTCCCGTCTGGGAGGGATCACCTCTTCTGGTGAAGCACATGTGGTACAATTTAATGGAACGACTTGCTTCTGCCCTGACTACAGTTGTAATGCCTGAAGCATCCGCCGTCGACCAGTTCACGGAGGTGATTTCTGGAGCCGATGGTAACATTATCACCCTTTTCGTGGCAAAGCCGAAGGTGTCCGAGGCGGTTCCAGGAATCTTGCACATGCATGGAGGAGGAATGTGCTACTTCTCCGCCGACGATCCATTGAACCGCGCTTGGCGCATTCATCTGGCTCTCCGTGGCTTTGTTACTGCCAGCGTGGAGTTCCGCAACTCCTCTGGCAGGTTGGGGTGCCATCCGTTCCCTGCTGGTCTGAACGACTGCATGAGCGCCTTGGCATGGCTGAGTGCCAGGCGTCGACAGTTCGGCATATCGAAGCTCATCCTGTCTGGCGAGTCTGGGGGGGGGAACCTGTGCATCGCCTCGGCTCTCCGTGCCAAGAGAGAGGGGCGCCTCTCTGAGTTTGACGGTGTGTTCGCACTGTGTCCCTTCATTGCTGGGCCGTCTGTTTGGAGGGCGAAATCGAACACCTCATTGCAGGAATGCGACGGCTACCTACTCGACGCGAAGAACAATACACTTTTCGCGAGCATGTACGACCCGGAGCTCAAGCATGCGGGTGATCCATGCGCATGGCCAGGGTTGGCGACCGACGCAGACTTGGATGGATTGCCACCCCACGTCATCAGCGTCAACGAGCTCGATCCTCTTCGGGACGAGGGCCTAGCGTACTGCGAGAAGATGAAAGCAGCAGGTGTGCGTGCCGAGTCCAGGATTGTGCGGGGCACACCCCATGCGGGCGAACTGTTGTGCACGGGCTTCGAGGGTGGCCGGTGCATCCTGGAGGAGACGACTGATGCCATGATGCATTTTGCTCAGTCTCTTTGACTCTGCACTTCACAGGTGATGCGCGGAACTCATTCCGCGATGCCCATCGGTACTTGCGCGCCGTGTGCCGCCGAATTCGTTGCACGCTTGCACGTCTCATCTTGTGTAGGCCGGGGCATCGCCGCTGGCCGAGCGCATGACCTCGTGGCAGGGGTCGTCGGCCGCCTTTGCCTCGGTCATTTATATACGGTTGCGCAGACTGTCCGGGTGCGGCGCGCGGTCTTCCAACCGTCTTCTTCGGAGCCGCGTCAGGGCAGCCCGAAATAGTCTGGGTTACACGAGTTGTATTGAGCATGCTAAAAGAGTGTGCGAGATCAAGTCGTATCGCGTTCGCATATCGCGGCAATTCCAGCAGAAGCGTGGGAAGCCGCTGTGCGGCACTACTGCGCATGGTATTGCATTACTGCCCATGTGCTTGGACTCCTGCAGTGCGTTCATTCATTAATTCATGCGTGCTTCTCTTTCCCCCGCCGCGCATCACGCCTACGAGGGGATACCTCAAATTATCTTCGAAGTTCTAGCTACGCTGCATCTTGGTCAGATGATCTTTTCGTCAGCAAGCCAGACTCGCATTTGGCATTTTCCGAGCAAGTGATCCATCACCGTGGACGAGGTGGAGGGCTGGGGATGAGGATGATGAGGAGGCGGCGGACCATTCTGTGATGTCCATCGGCAGTTGCGCCCAGAGTGTTGCCGAAGTTTTCTCTTCGATGGCATTTCTGCTGCTTTGCTGGTCAGGGCGTTTTCAGCTCGGCACCATGGGGTCCCCTTTGCAGGATTGTTTTCTGCTCGCTCTCTCGCCAGACGCTCCATTTGCGAGGGGGGTCCGTAAATCATGCCAGCGCGCGGATACCAACAGTGGCTCTGTTCTGCGACTTCGTGCGAACCCCACCCCTCCGGGCGAGCTGGCGCTGTGGTATCAGACACCCCCGCTGGGGTTCATTTGGCTGCAGACATCCTTCAAACTCTGAACCCCAGCCGGTTTTTCGAAAATCAGACCTGCAGAGGTAGGGTTCACGCGCCTTGGCTCATATGCGCAGGCCACAGGATGCAGTCTGCGGGGTGTCAACCGAGGATGCGCGACACTCGGGGCCAGTTGGCGGCGCGCGAATGCTGGGGAGCCGGGGCTCGCTGTGGCGACGTCGGGTCCCCAGGGCTACGGTAGCAAATAATTAGAAATCGGCCTGCCAACAGGTGCCACATGGAATTTTCTTATCCCCTGATGGCCCCACGGACCTACAGAAGCTCGTGGACTCCGGTGCACCGTAGGGCCCTCGAAGATCGACGAAGAATGGGCCCCAATACTTTCTCGTCGTGTGGGCCGAGTGTAGTGCCAGTCACACAGGAACCCATGCGAGCCCAAGCGGCCGCAGCCTCCTTCCCCAACACATCATGCCAGTACTCCACAGCCTGCGTCTGCACCGCCACACCCAGCACTCCACGGCCTCCGCCTCGAACATGCTCCAGTACTCCACGGCCCCCGCCTCGAACATACTCCACGGCCTCCGCCTCTTCCTAGATTTTACAAGCCCTGTGGGGCCCCCCCCACCCCACAGATAGGAACCCCAGGTCTGCGGCCCCGGGGGCCCCCAGGACGCCGCTGCAGGAGGCCCCCCAGGCTTTCCGGAGCTTCTGGAAGCCCCTGCCAGGCCTGGGCAGCGGTCCCAAATCGGTCAGGAGGGCGGCCGAATCGGGCAACGGACCCCAGTACTCCACGGCCTCCGTCTTCAAGGCGGCTTCCTCAGGAGTTCGATCCCGAGCCCGCCCGCCGTACCCGCCCGCCCTTTTCCTGCCCCGCTCGCCCCGCCCGCCTTGGCAAGAGAACAACCGATGCTCCACCGCCTCCGTGCGCGCCCCCCAGGCGCCCCCCCAAACACCCTGAAGTTTTTTTTTAAAGGTTTGTTTGGGGGATTCCCCTGGGCCTTCCCAAGAACCGCCCGAAGACTTCCTTCGAAGAGGGATTTGGAAAGGGTTTTGTATTGTTGTTCCCACATCCTAAGTGGGGTTCGTTTCTTCTCTGGACGCGCCGCGCAGCCCTCTCCTCCCCTCCTTTGTCACACTCGTCACCACCATCGCACCATCATCATCACTAATATCATCTCATCATGATCATTTGTCACCACCATCGAGATGACCAGCCACCATCATCGTCATCATCATCGTCGTCATCATCATCAGCATCATCATCAGCATCATCATCATCATCGCACAGACACACGTTTACTCATACACACTCACACCATCACCACCACCACCATCACCATCACCATTACCATCACCATCGCCATCACCATCACCATCACCACCACCATCACCACCACCACTATCATCATCATCATCATCATCATCATCATCATCATCATCATCATCATCATCATCATCATCATCATCATCACCACGACTATCGTCATCATCATCATCATCATCATCATCATCATCATCATCATCATTATCATTATCATTATCATCATCATCAGCATCAGCATCAGCATCAGCATCATCATCTCACGTATTCATGCACTCACTAACACTTTCAGTCACACTCACACAGTCACACAGTCATCTCGAGGATATCTCGAGCGGGAACCTCACCTGTGAGTGGATTGTGAGTAAGTCTCAGGCGCCCCCCCTCTCATGGGGCCGTCAGACCATGTTGTTAAGCCGAACGGGTCATCCAGATTTTGTAGCAGTCGTCACTTTTGGGCTCCTGAGGCGTGGTGGATCTTGAGGTCGGCTCGAGCGGGAGCCTCGTGTGTGAGTGAACCACGAGGAAGTCTCAGGCGGGAGCCCCCCTCCGCCGTCAGATAATCTTATTAATCCGAGCGGGTCGCTCAGATCTTGTATCTGTCGTCATTTTTGGGCTTTTGAGGCGTGTATCTGGAGGAAGTCTCGAGTGGGAGCCCAGTCTGTGAGTGCATTGTGAGGAAGTCTCGGGCGGGAGCCCCCTCCCCATGGGGCGACCAGATCATGCGATTCAGTCGTGCGGGTCATCCAGTTCTTGTATTAAGTTGGGCCTGTCCCTCTACAGGAGCAATATCCGAAAATAGTCAAAAATAGTCAGGGGATGATTTTTCGATTATTTTTGACAAGAGTACTTTTTGAGTATGCTTTATTTTTCATCCAGAATCCACCTTTAGGGGGACATTCCCGACCTAAGTCTTGTAACGGTCGTCACTTTGGGCTCCTGAGGCGAGGATCTGGAGGACGTCCCGAGCGGGAGCCTCGTCTGCGAGTGACTGGTGAGGAAGTCGCCGGCGGGCCCCCCTCCTGATGGGGCCGCCGGATCATGCTGGTAAGACGAGTGGGCCATGCAGATTTTGTAATCACCTTTAGGCTCCTGAGGCGTGGATCTGGAGTGTGTCTCAAGCGGGGGCCTCGTCTGTGAGTGAATTGCGAGGAAGTCTCAGGCGGAGGCCCTCTCATTATGGGGCCGCCAGATCATATGATTAATTCGAGTAGGTCATCCAGATTTCGTAATTGCCTCGCCTTTAGGCTCTGGAGGCGTGGATCTGGAAGGTGTCTCAAGCGGGGGCCTCGTGTGTGAGTGAATTGCGAGGAAGTCTCAGGCGGAGGCCCTCTCATGATGGGGCCGCCGGATCATGCTGGTAATTCGAGCGGGTCATCCAGATTTCGTAATTGCCTCGCCTTTAGGCTTCTGAGGCGTGGATCTGGAGGGTGTCTCAAGCGGGGGCCTCGTGTGTGAGTGAATTGCGAGGAAGTCTCAGGCGGAGGCCCTCTCATTATGGGGCCGCCAGATCATATGATTAATTCGAGCGGGTCATCCAGATTTCGTAATTGCCTCGCCTTTAGGCTCCTGAGGCGTGGATCTGGAGGGTGTCTCAAGCGGGGGCCTCGTCTGTGAGTGAATTGCGAGGAAGTCTCAGGCGGAGGCCCTCTCATTATGGGGTCGCCAGATCATATGATTATTTCGAGCGGGTCTTCCAGATTTCGTAATTGCCTCGCCTTTAGGCTCCTGAGGCGTGGATCTGGAGGGTGTCTCAAGCGGGGGCCTCGTCTGTGAGTGAATTGCGAGGAAGTCTCAGGCGGAGGCCCTCTCATGATGGGGCCGCCGGATCATGCTGGTAATGCGAGTGGGCCATCCAGATTTCGTAATTGCCTCGCCTTTAGGCTCCGGAGGCGTGGACCTGGAGGGTGTCTCAAGCGGGGGCCTCGTCTGTGAGTGAATTGCGAGGAAGTCTCAGGCGGAGGCCCTCTCATTATGGGGCCGCCGGATCATGCTGGTAATTCGAGCGGGTCATCCAGATTTCGTAATTGCCTCGCCTTTAGGCTCCTGAGGCGTGGATCTGAAGGGTGTCTCAAGCGGGGGCCTCGTGTGTGAGTGAATTGCGAGGAAGTCTCAGGCGGAGGCCCTCTCATTATGGGGCCGCCAGATCATATGATTAATTCGAGCGGGTCATCCAGATTTCGTAATTGCCTCGCCTTTAGGCTCCTGAGGCGTGGATCTGGAGGGTGTCTCAAGCGGGGGCCTCGTGTGTGAGTGAATTGCGAGGAAGTCTCAGGCGGAGGCCCTCTCATTATGGGGCCGCCAGATCATATGATTAATTCGAGCGGGTCATCCAGATTTCGTAATTGCCTCGCCTTTAGGCTCCTGAGGCGTGGATCTGGAGGGTGTCTCAAGCGGGGGCCTCGTCTGTGAGTGAATTGCGAGGAAGTCTCAGGCGGAGGCCTTCTCATCATGGGGCCGCCAGATCATATGATTATTTCGAGCGGGTCATCCAGATTTCGTAATTGCCTCGCCCTGAGGCTCCTGAGGCGTGGATCTGGAGGGTGTCTCAAGCGGGGGCCTCGTGTGTGAGTGAATTGCGAGGAAGTCTCAGGCGGAGGCCCTCTCATGATGGGGCCGCCGGATCATGCTGGTAATGCGAGTGGGCCATCCAGATTTCGTAATTGCCTCGCCTTTAGACTCCTGAGGCGTGGATCTGGAGGGTGTCTCAAGCGGGTGCCTCGTCTGTGAGTGAATTGCGAGGAAGTCTCAGGCGGAGGCCCTCTCATTATGGGGCCGCCAGATCATATGATTAATTCGAGCGGGTCATCCAGATTTCGTAATTGCCTCGCCTTTAGGCTCCTGAGGCGTGGATCTGGAGGACGTCTCAAGCGGGGGCCTCGTGTGTGAGTGAATTGCGAGGAAGTCTCAGGCGGAGGCCCTCTCATTATGGGGCCGCCAGATCATATGATTAATTCGAGCGGGTCATCCAGATTTCGTAATTGCCTCGCCTTGAGGCTCCTGAGGCGTGGATCTGGAGGGTGTCTCAAGCGGGGGCCTCGTGTGTGAGTGAATTGCGAGGATGTCTCAGGCGGAGGCCCTCTCATTATGGGGCCGCCAGATCATATGATTAATTCGAGCGGGTTATCCAGATTTCCTAATTGCCTCGCCTTTAGGCTCCTGAGGCGTGGATCTGGAGGGTGTCTCAAGCGGGGGCCTCGTCCGTGAGTGAATTGCGAGGAAGTCTCAGGCGGAGGCCCTCTCATTATGGGGCCGCCAGATCATATGATTAATTCGAGCGGGCCATCCAGCTTTCGTAATTGCCTCGCCTTTAGGCTCCTGAGGCGTGGATCTGGAGGAGGCTCAAGCGGGGGCCTCGTCTGTGAGTGAATTGCGAGGAAGT